TTCTTGGCACCACTTAAGTGTTGACTTCTGCCTTAGGTGGGCTCTCCCCTTGAGTAGCAAAGACAGCCATAAACCAGCTCCAGGATTTCACTCTTTAGCTTCACTCTTTTACCCCAACTTCCTAATAAGAGATGGGGGCCTCTGTTCCGTTTTCCCCAGCAAAGTCTCTCATTGCCCTATTTGGGTGAAATGCTCATCCTTAAACCATCACTGTGATGACTGGCCAGGCCAAAGTTTCAGTGCCTGTCCCTGGAATTCTGGGGGCAAGCTCGGCCCACTTGAGCCACATGGACCAAAAAGGAGAGTAGTGAGGCCAGGGATTCAGCCCAGTGGCACTGCACCTGCCTTGAAAGCGCAAGGTCCTGAGTTTAACCTGTGGTACCAAAGGAAAAAAATAAAGGAGAGTAGTATTCCCCAGAGGAAAACTGGAAGATTGTACCCAAAAGGAAGAGAATTCCAGGCAGGCAAATAAACAAGAATGTCCACAACAAGGCTGAGGATGTAGCTCAGCAGCACAGCACCAGCCTGGCAAGTGCAAGGCCCTGAGTTGGATTCCTGGTACCAAAAAAGAAAAAAGGAAAAAGATATCCACAACAATGGAACAATGGTCAAACCTCACCAATTAGTGAAGCATTCTGATCAGTACAGGAATTCCTGTGTCGGATTGGAACAAATCATTGGCCTGAGGGACCCATGTCTCTTAGGCCTTCAAGAAATCAGGAAAGGGGGAAGACATTGTTTTCACTTATCAAATTAAAAAGGTTTTGTTGTGCTGAGGATGGAATCCTCAGCCTCGGGCATGCATGCCCAGAAAGCACCCTGGCCCAACAAGGATTTTAAAATTGTTAAATGCTTTGGTGGCACATGCCTATAATTCCAGCAATCTGGGAAGCTGTGGCAGGAGAATCTATTTATTTATTTATTTTTGGTACCAGGGATTGAACTCTGGACCTTATGCTTTCAAGGCGGGTGTCGGAACCACTGAGCTAAATCCCGAGCCCTGGAAGGAGAACCTAAAGTCTCTTGGGCTATACTCAGTGCTATGCCAATAAGACTGATGTTCCTGGGCCGGGGATTTAGCTCAGTGGTTCCACCGCCTGCCTTGCAAGCACAAGGTCCAGAGTTCGATCCTCGGTACCAAAAAAAAAAAAAAGTATAAACTACTTAAAAAGTAAATAAATAAATAAAAATAAAAAATTTTTAAAAAGACTGATGTTCCTAAATTTATATCAGGATGACCAAGTGTGTTTGACACTAGAAGGCATTTTGGCAATATATATCATAATCCTTAAAAATATTTTGATTCTCTGATATCTGGTAATTTCACTTCCATAAAATTTTGTCCAAAAATGTCCAAAATATTGACAAAAACTTATGCACAGGGCTGGGGATTTAGCCCAGTGATACAATGCCTGCCTCACAAGCTCAAAGTCCTGAGTTTGATCCCTGGGACGAAAAAAAAAAATTATGCACAAATATTTTAATCATAGCATTTGTATAATAGCAAAAATAAATAGAAACAATCCATATGTCTAAAATAAATACGATAATTCCATATAGTAGAAGATTATACAGTCACTAAAACTTTTCTAAAGAATTTTAAATTGGGCATGGTGATGCATGCCAGTAATCCCAGAGCTGGGGAAAGCTGAAGAGGAGGAGGATGGCAGTTAGCGACTTGGCAAGACACTGTCTCAAAATTTAAAAAACAAAAATTTTAAGGGCTGGGGATATAGTTCAGTGCAAAGGCCCAGGGTTCAATCCCCAGTATTGAAAGAAAAAATAAAATTGAGACAGGTGCTGTGATGTGGACCTGTAGACCCAACTACTTGTGGCAGGATGTAAAACAGTTCTTACAGTTTCATTGAATAAGAAACCAAGTTACACTTCTTTGCCCCATCTCTTGTGAGAATGAAGACCATTCTCAGCAATCAGAGTGTCCACGTTCCAAAAAATGTTGACATCACTCTGAAGGGATGCACAGTTATTGTGAAGGGCCCCAGAGGAACCCTGAGGAGGGACTTCAACCACATTAATGTAGAACTCAGTCTCCTTGGAAAGAAAAAGAAGAGGCTGTAGTTGACAAATGGTGGGGAAACAGAAAGGAACTGGCTACTCTTCACACTCTCTGTAGCCATGTACAGAACACGATCAGGGGTGTTACAGTGGACTTCCATTACTGGGCTTCCATTACAAGATGAGGTCTGTGTGTGCTCACTTCCCCATCAACGTCGTTATTCAGGAGAATGGGTCTCTTGTTGAAATCTGGAATTTCTTGGGTGAAAAATACATCCGCTGGGTTCGTATGAGGGCAGGTGTTGCTTGCTCAGTATCTCAAGCCCAGAAAGATGAACTAATCCTTGAAGGAAATGACATTGAGCTTGTTTCAAATTCAGCTGCTTTGATTCAGCAAGCAACCACAGTCAAAAACAAACACATCAGAAAATTTTTGGATGGCATCTATGTTTCTGAAAAGGGAACAGTTCAGCAGCCTGATGAATAAGATCCAAGAATTACTCAGCTACAGAAGCAAACTTCTGGATTGGAAGATAAATTTGTGATATTTAAATGATGGCAATAAAAGATCTCTATTAAAAAAAAAAAAGAAAGCAAGTTACAAAATTGTCTATGCAGTATATTAACCATATATACTGCATATACCTAGAAGCCACATATGCCCAGAAATAAAAAAGAAAGGAAATAGATAAAAATGATTACTTTAGAACAGTGCATGGTGCCACATGCCTGTGATGCTAGCACTTGGGAGGCTGAGGCAGGAGGATCACCTAGAGTTCAAGGCCAGCCTGGGCTACCTAGTGAGTTCAAGGCCAGTCTGAACTATATAGCAAGACTCCATCTCAACAAAACAAAACAAGGGCCAGGGATTTAGCTCAGTGGCACTGCACCTACCTCGCAAGTGCAAGGTCCCTGAGTTTGATCCCTGGTACCAAAAAACCAAAACCAAACACAGTTTTTAAAAGTCTCCCTTTTAGCTACTAATATAAGCGCTCCCTTATATATCAGTCTCCCTTACCCATTTAGATAAACCTGGAAGAAAAATACTTCAGGATGACAAATGAAGGTTAGCAACATTCTTTTATGTCTTACAAGATTTTTCCCAGTCATCCACAGAAAGATCAGTTTTACTTATATTTCTTATAATTGCCAGTCCTTCCCTAAACAGAATGTACCACCTCATCATATGATGTTTTTGTTGGGGAAGGGCACTGGGGTTTGAACCCAGGGCCTTCACACTGAGCTGTAGCTCCATATCCTTTTTACTTTTTTTTTTTTTTTTTGGTACCAGGGATTGAACTCTGGTCCTGGCACTTGGGCAACCGGTGGTGAAACCAATGCTTTATACTTTTTATTTTGAGACAGGGTCTCACTAAGTCGCTAAATTGCCTAGGCTGGGCTCAAACTTGTGATCCTCCTGCCTCAGTGTCCCCAAATTCTAGTATTACAGGCATGCACTACCATGCCCAGCCACTTTTTTTCTTTTTAAGTAAAATGAAGCCTGGGAACAAAACATAAACTTATGCAAAACTCTAATATAAAGTGAATGGGCACTGCACTTCCAGCTGCCAGTGAAATGCTAGTCAAAAAGGGATGCTTAGTTCGACCAGTGGCAGAGACTGGGGCCTGTGGGCCCTGTCTGCAGAAATCCCAGCCCACCACTTCTGGGGCTGTGGGCACACCCATAAGCTCCTTAGACCACAAGGTTTCCCTCTCTGCAGGCCAACAGCTGACTGCCAATGATTGCTGGCCGGGAAAACAAAACAAGGTGTTCTAGCACAACATGGATGGTACCACTTCCGGGATGCTTTCTCTGTCTCCTTCCCTGATCCCCACTACCCCTCTGAACGACATCACTTCCCTAGGAAACATAGCCTTTGTACCTTCCTCTTAGAGCAATCCTAACCACTAATAACCCACGGCTGTAGGTACTGTGATACTGCATCACACACAGACTTTCACTCACCTTCTGGCTCTGCCTCTCAATTTATGAACCTCAGTTTCCTTGGCTGTAAGATGGAGATAGTAATCTCAGCTGCACAGAGCACTGTCCCCTCCCTGGACTCTTTGGAAACAGTCTGACAACCTAATCCTTGAGCTCATGAAACATGATTGTGCCCAGGGCCAAGGATGTAGCTCAGTGGTGCTGCACCTGCCTGGCAAGCACAAGATCCTGAGTTCAATCCCTGGTACTGAAAAAAAGAAAACAAAAAAACATGATTGTGCCTGGCAGCACAAAACAATAAAACAGAAAAGTGTCTGGCAGCGCAAAACAATAAAAGGAGATGCACCAAGCCCTGGCCAGGGATGGCAGCAGCCCCAGTCATGGCCTCCCCAGTGGAACATCCAATCAGCCAAAACTGGGAACAGCCAGCAGCAGTGGCTAATGATAGCCCTCTCATCTTTTGGACAGAATAATTGCTAAGAGGGATTAGGGACCCCAGTTATCAAGGATCTGTCCAGGAGTATGGTTAAGGCATGTCCAAAATGAAACTCAGCTTCCCCTTGAGTGTTTTATTCTTCTTGCTCCTTGTCTTGGGGAACAGCACCACTCTGGGATCCAAACCAGAAATATGGGATCATCCTCACACCTCCTGCTATAGTTTGGGATTTTGTTTTGTTTTGCTTGTCCTTCATACTGAGCTAAAGCTCTAGCATCTTTTTTATTTTTTACTTTGAGACAGGGTCTAGCTAAGTCGTTAAATTCCCCAGACTGGGTTCAAACTTGTGATTCCTTCTGCCTCAGCCCACCAGAGTGCTAAGATTACAGGTGTGCACCACCACCCTGAGCTATAGTTTGAATCTTGAATGTCCCTCCACAAAGGCCCCTGTGTTGAAGTCTTGGTCCCCAACCTGTGGTACTATTGGAGTACAGGAGACCCTTGAAATGGTGGACCTCATAGAAGGAAGTTAGGTCATTGAAGATTACCCCTTGTTGGGGATATCAGGATCCCACCCCTCTCTCTCTTTCTCTTTGTTTCCAGCAGCCATGAGGTAAACCAGCCTCCCATACCATGTGCTCCTGCTATGATGTACTAAGCCACCACAGGCCCAACACTACAGGATTAAGCCACCCTGGATTGAAATTTCTAAAATCATGAGCTAAAATAAACTTTTCCACTTTTAAGGTTATTATCTTGGGTATTTTTTCACAGTAATGGAAAACTACACAACTCCCTCTGTTTTATACCACCTGCTGAATCCATCACCAAGTCCTATCACCCTGCCTCTCAAATCCATCAGCTTTAAATTTTTTTTTATTTTGTCTTTGCAGTGCTAGAGATTGAACCCAGGGCCTCATGCATTCTAGGCAAGCGTTCTACCACTAAGCTAAATCCCCAGCCTCTCCATCCACTTCTTTTTATCCTGGTGCCACCACTGTAGTTCCTGCCACTATCCTCCTCTCTTGTGGCACTGCCACAGCCTCCTCTTCACAGGTCTCCTTACCTGCAAAGGCCCCACAGGGAGCCTGTCTCCTGCTTCTGTGGAAAAGCCTTCAAAGGCTCTCAAGATGACAAGTAGCCTCCATAACTTCAAGGCCCCATGTTGCCCACATCGGGCCTTTGCTTTTTTTTTTTTTTTTTTTTTTTTTTGCGGTACTGAGGATCAAACTCAGGACCTTGCACTTCCAAAGCAGGCACAGTGCCACTGAACTAAATCCCCAGCCCTTTTTCCTTACTTTTTGAACTGCATCTCTCTCCACTCCCTTACTCATGCAGCATACTTTCCCTGAATTCTCTGTTCTCTCTCACCAGCCTCATTTTGTCCTCGCTATTCCATCTCACTAACATCCTTTTCTTTTCCTCTTTTTCCTAGACTAGTTCCTGCTTATGTTTTAAGACTTAGCACAGATTTCTATTCTTCCTGAAGTGTTCTGCCCCCCAACTCCCCCCACACACCCCAAACTAGCCTAAATGTTCTCATTGCCAACACTTTAGGGAGCATTGTTCCAAATACCAGAGATGTCAACTCACAGAAAACCCTGTACCTAGATATTCCCATGATTCTTCTTTTACAGATAAGAAAACTGAGACTTAGGGAAGTTAAAGCAAATATTCCATCACCAATAAAAAGATGTGGGTTTTAATGCAATGGAGTACCATTCTGCCATAAAGAAGGATAAGCTTGGCTGGGGATTTAGCTCAGTGGTTCTGCCACCTGCCTCAAAAGTGCAAGGTCCCGAGTTCGATCCCCGGTACCAAAAAAAAAAAAAAAATACACAAAGAAGGATAAGCTTGAGACATTTCTAGCTAAACAGATGCACCTTGAGAACATACTCTTAAGTGAAATAAATCAGACACACATGTTTAAATAACACATTGTTTCTCTGGTATGAGAAACCAAACATATAAATAAGGAGCAAAATGTATAATAGATACTGGAAAATGGGAAGAAGCTGTTCAAATGAGAAGGTAAACACGGAGGGAGGGGGAAAGAAAAATGGAACAAGAGAAAAAAGAATAGAAGGAAAAAATGGAAACAATGCTTTTGTAAATCAGGAGGGAAAGAGGGACTGAAGGGAGGGGAGGGGAATGGAAAAAAAAAGAAGCAAGATATATCATGTACATGTACAAATTCCCTATGATGAATGTTTTCATGTATATCTAAAATATATCAATAAAATTATTTTTGAAACATAAAAAAAAAATTCATGGCATAACAAACAAGTGTCTTAGCACCACTGAATCCAAGGTCTATATAATTTTTTTTAAAGTAAAAAGAGAACAAAAAATTTTTTTAAATAAAGAGATTTTATTTTCATAGACAGTTTCCTATATTGCCCAGTCTAGCCCCAAAGTCCTGGGCTCAGGAAATCCTCTAGGACTGCAGGCCTGTGCCAGCATGTCTGGCTTGTCCTTTTCTGATTATAAAGACACGAAAAAAAGGTAAGACCTCCTCCTCTTTGGTCTGGCACATGTAAGAACTCAATAAACAAATCTCATATATGTACCAACTCCCCACAAGGACTGTAATCATTATGTACTGCAAATATGCACTAATAAAAAATTTAAAAATTAAATGAAAAAATTAAATTAAAATGAAAAATGAAAAAATGAAATGAAAATTAAAATGAAAAACATTAACGAACCTGGGCCGGGGATTTAGCTTAGTGGTTCCACTGCTTGCCTCACAAGCCCAAGGTGCTGAGTTCCATCTCCGGTATCAAAAAACCCCGCCAAAAAACCACGAATCTCTCCAAGCCTATATACACAAGCTTTTTTTTTTTGTACCAGAGATCGAACTCAGGACCTTGCTCTTGCAAGGCAGGTACAGCACCATGGAGCTAAATTCCCGGCCCTACAAGCATTTTTCACCACCAACTGCTCAGCCTTCTGCGCACTCCACCCACCCACCCATCCTTCCACTCCCCAGCGGTCCCCTACAAGACAAAGGGTTCCTAGAGGACAGGGATCTGTGCCCAAACCACATTTGTGCGTAGCAAGCAAGCGAGGCACAGGCCAGCCTCTGGTTTGGGGTGCCTCTTCCGCCTAGGGATTCCCACATCCTCCACCCGACCGGCCTCAGATCAGCTCACCAGCCCCATATCTGCAAATCTCCCCAAATCACAGGTAGGGACCTCAAGATCCTGCTCCCTCCTGCTCAAAGTGCCTGCCAACACCCTGCACTCCGCTTAGGCTTTTTTCCAAGCCCTAGGCTTCCTTCTCCCTCTGCCACCGTTAATTACAGCCCGGCCTCACACTTGCATTTCCACGCCCGTGCCCCGGTCTTCCAGATCCTAGCGGAAAAGGCGGCCTCCCCCGATTCAGAGCTCTGGCGCCCTTAGGTCAGGGCCAGGAGAGGCGCTTCCAGCCAGGCTTTGGGGCGGGTGCGCCTCGTTCTATGGAAAGAACGCCCACCCGCGAATAAATAGGGAGCGGATTTGCCTCACAGCAGCACGCTGAAGGCTGGCTGCAGTCCAGAGCTAAGGACGCCTCCTCCATCCCACTACCACCCAGAGACCGGCGCAGTGGCACGGGGACCTGGGTTGGGGTGGCAGCTAGTAACCTCTTTGGGCCAGATCTCAAGCTGACCTTGGGCCTCCTGGAGGGAAATGGGGCTGAGACTTTGTTTATTGTGTGTGTATTTAATTAAAGGAAACTGCCAGCTCCTGAAATGGTGACCTTCCTTCCAGCAGCTCCCATACTACCGTTAAGAATCTTCCAGCTCTAAACTGGGCGTGGTGGTGCACCCTATAATCCCAGCACTCGAGGCTTACGCAGGAAGATCACCTTGAGTTCGAGGCCAGCCTGGGCTACATAGTGAGATCAATGCGAGCTGGAACTACATAGCAGGAGCCCATCTCAAAACAAAACATTTACAGTTATAGTCCCTTCAGGTCCCCCGAACAGCTATCCGGGAACCTTCATATCCCTGGGGTCTACATTTTAGTAACTGTTACCTGCTCACGAAGCACAGGCAGTCTGGACCTCAAGCGCTGGCCCTGGCTGTCCTGTTGCCCTTCCACTCTAGCTACAGGGGCCAGCCTGCCAGGGCAATTCATTCATCCCACATAGTCAGTCAGTGCTGGCTCTGGGCTTCCACTCATCCGGTTTCTCCCTTGGGAAAGTTCTTTTCCTACTTCCAGAAGCTAAAATTTTGCCAGTTCTTTAAACCTAGCTTAAAAACCACCTCTGCAGCCCAATGTAGTGGTGAATACCTATAGTCCTAGTTACTCAGAAGCTAAGGTGGGAGGACTGACTGAGCACAGGAATTCAAAACCAGCCTGGGCCACATGGTGAAACATCGTCTGCAAAGAGACAACAAACAACAAAGCAAAAGCAAACCTACCTGTGTATCTTCTGTTCGGCCTCTGGGGAGTCTGTACTCCTGCTTCTCTAAGCTTCCAGTGTCCAAAGTCTGAACCTCTCACTTAGCCTTGATATCTTCCTTAGTGTAGCTACTACCTGTTTTTTCTAGCAGGCTGCAAGCTCTCAAGAACAAGGACCAGAACCGATTCAATTTTGTGTCCTCAATGCCAAGAAAGGTGTATGGCTCAGCCTTTCTGAACTTTAGGCTGCTCCTTCACCTTTACATTAAGGGTCTGGATGAGACAACCTACCCCTCCAGTTATGCCTCTGTGAGCCAGTGACTTCCTGGATCTCTCATGCTCCTACGTTCACCAAACCTTGGGTGTGGTCAGGAGTATATCTGAATCCTCCACTTCCTCTGGGCCCATTAAGAAAGGCAACTGTGCAAGGCTGCTGGGAACCTCAAGGCAGTGGACCTAGTGTCAACACACCATGATGCTGTCCCATCAGGAAAGTCCCAGTGCTCCAGGCTCCTGAGACCTGTCAACCAGCTCAGCTCCAACTGGGGGAGGGGGAACCAGCCCACCCCAGAAAGTGAAGCACCCCCCACTTTTTACTGCCCACTACAACATACACACACTCTCTACAGGAGTGGAGGAAGCAGCCTCTCAACATCCTTAAGTCCCACTCAGGACCATCCCATTCCCCAGCGTCCTTACCTTCATCCCAGCCCAGCTATCTGCAGTCTGGACTGAGAGTACCAAGTTCCTGAAAGAAGCAGTATCAGTTCATTTTTTGCCACGGCTCAAGAAGCTTTAAGCCCTTGTCCTACATTACACTGAATGGAACTCACCACCTCCTGGGATCGGCCACATCTCCTTGAAATTCCCAGCCATGGGGTCTCATTTTACCTACTGAAGCTACATAGAATAATGCTAACCTGAAACCGTAGCCCCAGGTTTGGATAGACAGACCTATGATTCTAGTTGTTACTCCCTAGCTGCATAATCCTGGATGTATTATTTACCTCTCAGAGTCTCAGTTCATTCATCTATAAAATGGAAGCAGAGAGCTTGGGGTATGGCTCAGTGGTAAAGCACACACTTAGCATGCTTACAATCAACCCCCAACACCAGGAAGAGAGAAAAAGGGAGGGAGGGGGAGAGGGAAGGGGAGAGGGAGGGGGGAGGGAAAAGGAGAGGGAGACAGAGAGGAATGAGTTATATACAGAAAGTGATGGTTGTGGACATTATATAATATTTATGAAAATACCTATCATTGACAGTGACATACATAGGATGGCAAGTGTGAGCATTATTTCTATTCCGCATTCCCTGCATTCTTGCCTGGAGCTTTCTCTGGAAGCTAAGTAGGGAGCTATCTGAAGTTAAAACTGCTCTGGACCAAACCAGTTACACACAATACTAAAGCTGCCCTTAGGACCCAATTATAGACTTCAAAAGACAGAAAAGAAGACTTTCAGCCCAGAGAAGAGATGGGTTTGCCAAAGGTCACACAGCAGGTATAAGTAGGCAGAACAGCAGGCAGGCAAGGAGAGGGAGGCAAATGGAGGTTTGAGTTGAGGTCGCGGCAAGGGTATTGAGCTGAGTCTACAGATAGGCAACTGAGCAAGAGGACCTTCAGTTGACATTGTCCCATTTCCCTTACCCAGCAGGGCCTGGCATTTGCCTCTCTTTGGAACTGCTCCTTCACGGTTCCTGAGTTTGCAGTAGTTTCCCAGAAATGCTAGGTAAATATCTGTATTTACCTGAGATATTGGCTCCATGGACAAGACAAGGGGCCCCA